TTTTTTTCTTCCTTCTTGGACAGTGTAAAGAACATGACCTGGCCATGATTAACCAGTTGCTGGACGATCCGAAGTTGACAGCCAGAAAATACAGGGAGTGGAAGTTGATGAACACCCTGCTGATCCAGGATATCTATCAGCAGCAGCGGGCCCCCACGTCTGCCCACGAGGGCACCCCCCAAGGACTTGAGAAACCACCTTCCTCTGCCCATGTTGGAAATTCTATCTGAGAACAAGCCAACATTCTCTCCCCTTTTATTGTACCCCGAGCAGCTCTTCAAGATGTTGCGAGAGCTCTCCTTAAAAGGAAAACTGAAACCAATTCCTCAAGCGGTGGCTACTCCTCTAAAGACGCGACTTAGGTGAGGACCTACTGTGTTGGCAACAGGAGCCCTCCTTCCGGTGGCAGTGCTTACATGGAGACTGGAGAGATTGAGCTCAGTTGAACAAACACCGTGTCCCTCCTAGGAGCTCATGGTTATGCTAGGCTTTAGGTGGGATGTGAGAAATGTGTATTCGTTCCTTGCCCTCAAGAGAACGACAGCGGAACGAAGATTCTAATGGACAAAGATCACATTCTACCAAGGATAATTATTCATAGAAGTGTTGTGTTTTCCAAAAGAAGAATGTAAGGATGTACATATTCCACTGGGTTGGGTAGTTGAATTCTTCGAATCATTTATGTTTTGAGTGGAGGAATGTGTTTTACGGCAGCAACTGGAACGAGACAGTTATGGTGTTGTGGAACCAAAATCTCTTGCCTTTGGTCCAGAATGGTGGTGCCTTTTCCGTGAGCTGAGAAATACTTCAGAGCGAGTGGTGTGTGGGAGAGCCCGAGGAGGAGGTGTGCCCTATCTTCCCACTCTCTCAAAGGACAGCTTGATGTTTCCACACTCTACCCAGGTGGGGGGGATCTGATTAAACTTTCCTTTCCACAGAGCAGCTACAGAAATACGTTTCATTACACTTCGAGACCTCCACTCCCTCCTAGCCTTTCTAAACCACTGTAGGAGATAGAAATAAGTCCAGCAGGGAATGTTTGCTGCGTTTGTCCCTGGGTGTGGTGCCTCTGCACAGTGTCAATTTATGTCCAGTTTCCCCAGGATCAAGATTGACAAGATGATTCTGGTGTCTGAATGGTTTTGATATCCTGACTCCAGAAAACCCAATGAAAACAACAAAAGAGTTAAAATATGATTATTTTATTTTTGTATGTTTATGTCTCACTTCGGGTCCTCTGTGAATAGCTCTCTATAATGTTTGTTATTTAAGTATATTTATAGAAGGTCAAATTACTAGTGTTGTAAAAGATGGTAATTATACATTTTGCTCAATGTATATTCTCTAAGTATATACTTTTTTGCTTGAGAAAGTAGGAATACTGTTGATTCACTGGAGTTATTATGTTGCACTATGCTGTATGAGGAATGCTCAGGATATCTTGTGGGATAAATACGGAGGCATGCGTTAATAATCTTCCATTTTCTGGCTTCTTTCTCTTTCTCTCCCTCTCTTTCTCAACCCAGAGTGCTCAGATTTCTCTATCTGTGGTCAGGCATTCTTTTAACCAGAAAAGGATTTTCATCTTAGGTTATTTCTTGTAGTGAATAAACTTTGTAAGCTTTATGCCATTTATGCCCACAAGCCCTAAACCAAATGAAACACAGCTAATATGGTGTTTTGTCTAAGGTCTAATAGAAATTTTGGGGTCTGTTAAAGAGAACTCGTTTTATTACTAATTACTAATCATGAATATTTCTCATAAGAATAACCACAACCCAGCAAAAACCCAGTTTGGCCTTACCCCTAGCAAATGGTCAGGCTAACACAGTGTGCTTTATAGAGTCAAAGTGTGGCTTGACATTCAAGTGGAAATAACTGTCTTTTTTAATCTGCAAACTAGATGGAAATAGTTGAATATTTCCTCAAGCTTTACTCAGAAGTGTTAATACTTTGTAAACAACAACAATCCTCGTATTAAGAAAGAAAAAAAACAGGAAACAAGTCAGAGTACTAGAAGCTTTTGTAAGATAAAAGATTATGTCAGTCCCTATGGCCCAGTAAACATTTAAGGGGACCTATCCCAAGTGGAGTGTGCTGGGCCAAGGACTCCCCGGAAGAGGGGGCCTGGCCCCGGTGAATGTTCTGTTGGCCCCAGCTCTGGATGCAACCATATAGGTCCTCAGATTAGACCCCGAAGCTCCTGCTTTGAGAGGCCAGTGCTTTACTGTCTTTACTCTGGGAATCATCACTGATTATTTCTACAATTAGCAGCTATTAGAAGGTTAATTGTTTAGGATTCACAGTGTAAACAGATTGTTGAGAGAAGGAGACATAATGGACATAATAATTAATAATTCCACCTTCTTTCCTTTGGCTTGAAATACTAACCTATAAACTTCAAAACAATTTTTCTAAATTGAGGTGCCCCAGAAGCTTTTGGCCCGGGCTTGTGAATACACCTCAGTGCTTTACTTTGGCTTTGGCTTTTCATGAATACACGCTTAGGTGACCGTGTAGGGTAAATTCCTTAGGAGCACTCCAAATTAAAGGCAAAAGAGGTCCATGAGATTGCTGAATTAAACCTTTCAGTTGCTTTTCAAAGTCAGGTTAGTCTAGAAGCTTTGGCTTTGTTAAAGCACATACTGTGCAGAATGTCCCCCAATGAAAGTGAGATCCAACTGCCCCGTCCTGCCCCCTCTCTTCTAGACCAGGCTCACCTTCTGGTTAGTGTTTCACCCTCTGAAAACACTTTCACTCTGCATTGCTTTGTGTTAGGAAGTAAGGGGCTGCCTCTGTGAGGTCCCAGCTTCAGCTGTGGCCACTAAGAGGAAGTGGAGGGTAGTGGGAAGTGACAGGAAGAATGGGTGACACTTTCCCTGACACTCAATTTAGGAATAACTCAGCCTTGTTCTTGTTGTTGTTTCAAAGGATATTAGGAAAACTGGATTACTTCAGTTTATTCCTGAGGGTTAGGTCATCTCTGAAATGGATTTTGGGTAGTTTCATGGGGTTCACAGGGTATACTCTTTTGCCCATTCCTGTAGATGTAGGGTCTGAAGGCTGCGTAATGACCCAGAGCCATGCCAGCTCAGGAAGCAGAGAACCTGAGTGTAATCAGGTCCAAACCTGAGGCACCTGCTGTGGATTAGGATCTGGATGGGACTCCTCTTTGGGGTTGTGTGGAGGACCATTTCTCTCTATTGTTAGCCTGTAGACCCAAACTAGTGCCTGATAGGATACCTCCGTGGCTGGAACATTGCAGCATGCGCTGAATCAAATGGTCCCACACTTGAAGGGCATCTATTACTTTTAATAAGTTTTTGTTCCGGCACAATCTCAGCTTGGCATCAAAGACCTAAGAAGAATCATAAGGTATATATTACTGCCAAGACTCCCAGAAGCCTAAGAAAGATTATGTTTGGAGTCAGATTTCAGTGTGAAACCCAAGCCTTATATTTACGTAGCACTTTGTTGTTTGCACGTATGCGTGTTTCAGGCTTCCGTCCCTTTCCCTCCCCAGTGGTCTTGGTGGGATGGCTGTGGATGATCACTCCTCCTTTTTTGACAGGGAGGAAAGAAACTCCTCCCATTTCTCTCATTCTTCTCTCTCCCGGTTCCTTGCGCAGTCACCGTTGGGCCCCAGCCCTGTGACGTGCAGTGTGCATGCGTGGCCGGGGTGGCTTTTGTGAAGTCATCGGCTGGGAGCCTGTAGGGGAGGCTGTTTTACTTGAGCACGGTCTCTTCCCCAGGGCTGAGGGGCTGCCCTTCCTGCAGCAACCGACTGCTGGGTTGACCATGAGTTGGGGTGTGACCCAATCACTGTGCTTCCTTTTCCTTCCTTCTGTAACTTCCATGCTTGTTGGGTGCTGTGAGATCTGTGGATGAAAGAGGTGGTTGAAGAAATGGAGATCATTTGTTTTCCTCTAAAAGCCAGTCGGAGATGGAGTCTGGTGACTCGGGGTTAGGCCCTCAGCCTTCCTCTCCCAATTTCTTCTCCTGCAGCATTTTGATACAAAGCCATGCAGAAGATGTGGGTAATTTAGGTCCAGAGGATGCCCATCCAAAACAGGCCAGTGTGTTAAAAATAACCAATAACTTTTGGTTCGTTTTAGGGTATATCTCTTCTTCAGTCTATTAGAATATGATATTTGAGAGTCCAACTTATTTTCCTTCTAATTTTTTGTGTACTTACCTCGCGAGAGAAATCGAGTCCTAGAAATGTCAGGTGGCCGCCCTGCTAGGGTTTTGTAATATGTAATTAAAAAGGAAAGCCCCTGAAACTGATTTTTAACAACCCATATGAAGCGGGTTAGGGAGCAGGAATAATTCCAGCCATCACAGAAAGCTCTTCTCTCTGAACAGGATTTTGACAGCTCTGTGTTCTTCTAGGTTGTGAGACAGGAAGCAATTTCCCTGCTTCCTCTGCACATTTTTACTCTTCCCCATTCTACCATAGACCACAGAAGACATTGAAAATGATTCTCCGTTAAAAACAAAGTTTGTCCATATCTCTTCCTGTGAGACTTAACTGCACTATATTGATATTTCTTCATGTTGCGTCCAAAGGGGAAGCATGCCCCGTGGACACATTTAGCATCCCATAATAAAAACCAGAATTTTTAGTCACCGTAGACTTTAATGTCCTTGCATGATGGGGATGTGACTGTTAGCGCTGCATGGTGTTTGGGGTAAGATGATAATGTGGAAATGACACCTTCAATGTCATTGTGCTTTCGTTCTCTGTCACCTATCCTCTTTGAACAGAAAAAAAGAGGCACGGCTCATTTCTTCTGCTTTGTTTTTTGAGAGTGACTTGTAAGATACAAATAAAAACGAGAAAATATATCTAGTAAAATGACATGGAAAAAATATCAAAATCTACTACTGTGTTCATTTTCTGCCCTGCTGTGCTGCTTCCTCCAAGAACAAGCTCCCCTGGAAGGGTTTGAGGACTGGGCTTTTAGTTTCTGTAAAGGTTATAGTGCCCTCTGGTGGCCATCATAAGAATAACTGATTCTAGACCATTCTTATTTTCAAAGCATTTAATTGTGTTGGAAAGTCTGTTTCAGTAATAACAGATGTGGTTATTCTCCAATGGTCCTTACCTTACAGGCTTGTTAGTAAAAATACGTATTTTTTCAAAATTGTTGGTCCACAAAATTTGACTTGCACGTTACATTGTTAGGCACTCACACTTTATTCAGAGAATTTTTAAAATTTGCAGATC